CCAGCAACAATATACTAAAAATTTAGATGTTCCGACGTCGATTTACGCACCCCAACTTTTCCAAAACATCGCTATTTTCTCGAAAAACCCTTTCTTTGACGGAAAAATTCAAACTCAAAATTTTGAAGAACCGACTTCAGGATCGACTTTCCCGACCTCGGTTACCTTTCGTTAAGCCTTATACAAAATCATTATTTTCACAAAAAACGCATTCCCTAAAAGAAAAAATCAACTTTTAAATTTTGAAAAACCGACTCCAGATTCGGACTCGTCAATACCGATTTACTTTCGCCACTCTTTTTAACATGGAAAATCCGGCCTCAGATTCGGAATTCTGGCCCTCGATAACCTATAGTAAAGTTTCATCAAAAGGCTCAAAAACATTAAAGTAAAGAAGCTCATTTCTGATTGGTCCACTTACTAGCCAATGGGAAGGTCGGATATAAAATCTGACCTCAGATTTGGAGTCCTGGCCCTCGATAACCTATGCCAAAGTTTCATCAAAAGGTCCAAAAAGCTTAAGGTACAAAAGCTCATTTCTGATTGGTCGGCTTTCTCACGAATGAGAAAGTCGAATATAAAATCTGACCTCAGATTCAGAATCCTGGCCCTCGATAACCTATAGTAAAGTTTCATCAAAAGGCCCAAAACGCTTAAAATAAAGAAGCTCATTTCTGATTGGTCGGCATCCTAGCCAATGGGAAGGCGGGATATAAAATCCGCCCTCGGATTCGAATTTTCCGTCCTCAATTACCTTTGGTGAGACTTAAGAAGTTACGCATAAGTAAAGTTCACTTCTGACGTTTTTTTTACCCTGACACATAGATACAAACGCATTTTATTTCATATGACCCTCCCTACAGTCGAGGAAATATAGATAGAATAGTCAAAACTTGTTTTCGAAATATATATAAGATAGAAAGTTGACAAATACTGATAATAATAGATTTGAAAAAATAGAATATACTAGAGTCAATGTTTGAGCACATGAACTACATAAACGAACACAGAATTTGTACTTGACAACACAAAAAAAGATGAATCTTTGAAACAGACCTAAAAGCTCACCTTCAATAGTGAATAGCATGTCGAAAAAAACTTATTACTACTAATATTGTTAATTCTTGCCTTTTATCATATCAATTATTCAGACATCAGAAGAATTTTTTTTTCTTGAAAAAGTTTTTCTAAAGATCATTCTCGTTCTATGTCAATATAAAAATCATTTATGAGATCTCGAAAGTATAAAACTAAATTCCAAAACGAACAAATTTCATCTAAATTATAATTTTCAAGTTCCTATGAAATATCAGCAAAACAAATCTCGAGTAAAATCCAAGTTAAAATTGTTTGATTGCTCTAAAACAAGTCTCTATGCAGAAAATAGTCAAATCGATAGTTATCGTTTTTTTTCAAGTAAAAAAGTCCAGACAACTTGCAATATTGTTTCTTGGATAAACGTATATGTTTTGAGCATAAATAAAATCATCGTTGAGTTTATGAATCTATGATTCCTTCATAAGTTTCTAGTGTTTCAGAAATGAAATCATGTTTAACTCTTCACAATAAAGGCTTTCAATAATAAACTATAAATATTGCGTTAAAGATATGAAAGTATATAGATAAACATGTTAAAACATGTTTTATGTAATTGTAACCAAACTCTATCTAGGTGAGTTTGATTACTGTTGATAAACATTTTTGTTTCATTTAACCATCTGCTCTTGCAATAATTATGACGTTATATATTTATTTTTACTTCGTTCGTCATGTAACAGATAGTAAGCAACACTGTTATCTTTTTTGAGTGACTCTATATGTGCGTTGATGGTGCAAGACAAAAACTTCATAATAAAGTCATATAAAAAGGCAACAAAATCATTTCATTCTCTATTAATAACTTCTTTAGAATTCATTTAAAAGCATAAAGAAATTTTTACAATGCATATCTTCTTCACGATTGTATCTCTAGTCTCTATCTATATTGGTATGAGCCAATTGAAAATATAAAAGAACTCTAGTATTGTATCGAAATATTTTGGATAGGTGTGGTTCAATGCAACAATGGCACGCAAATATCTGCAGAACGAATTAGCTACTACTGCTATTATTGTTCGAATTGTCCGCAACCGTTCGATGATCGCAGTCCACATGTTACGCGAGTCTCTTCAAACACGGGTTGGTGTGCTGTAAGTGAACTTAATTGATAACTTTCTTCGATCTTGATCAATTAACTATCGACTATTTTTTTAGATGATGAGCCGTACGAGTACGCTCGATGGAATTTATACTAGAGGCACTGCACAACCAGGTCTCTGCACTTCTACTGGGTGTTCATGGAAGACTGTCGGCGGAGTTAGAACATGGGTTTGTTGTTGTAATCAAGATTTATGCAACGCATATATTCCACAAGCTTGTTACTATTGTACAAATTGCCCACGACCATTCACTCGTTACGATCGATATGTTTCACTAGTCGATTCAAACACGGGTTGGTGTGCTGTAAGTTTGTTTCTTTCTACAAATTATAGAACAAGATCAGTGTGAAACCATGAATCTATTTGTAGAAGATGAGCACAACGAGTTCACCCGATGGATTTTATACTCGAGGTACTGCTCAACCAGGTCTCTGTAATTATGATGGCTGTTCGTGGAAAATAGTCAACGGAGTTAACACATGGGTTTGTTGCTGTAATCGATATCGATGTAATACTGGCATTTCTACATCAAAATCGACGGCTAGTCTTTTGATCACTGCATTGATGATTATTATCATGGGTTTCAAGAGCTTTTAATATTCTTTTTATTTCTTTTTATTATGATTTTTCTGATGCTTTGCTTAATAAATTTATGTCATTTTGACTTTCTTTTTATTAATATTTTATTGCTAATTGATATCGAAATAAAATATCAAAAATCAACTATTCGGTAGATGAGTTATATTAATTTTGTTTGTAAGGAACTATATCGACGATCTGTCTAAGTCTATTCAAACTGAAAATAATTATCTTGTGAACTTCCATGAAAAGCCTTCATGTCTATAGAAGGTTTCATGATATTGCGTGATAGGAACTGAGAACATAAGCAAGATTTTAGAATGTTGCTTGAGAGACAATAAATTGTTTTTTTATATAATTATATATAATTTTGTTTAGTACAATATATCTATTCAGATGTTTCTCGTCTACCAAACAATGAATTATTTGAAACCATCAAAAGAACATAGAAACTGCTTGATAAAGAATCAAGCGACTCTAAATAAAATACGTGTATCGATCGTCGATTTTGATATATGAAAAGTATCGCAACTGAAAACAAATAAGCAGTTGTGTTAATTATCATCTTGTTTTACATTAGAAGATCACGTTTTCCTTAGCTCTTCCATTTACATTCTGTTCCTTATACTTTTCTTCTGTCTTTCTATTCTCCTCTGCAACATAAGCGTGTATTCTAAATGAAATAGTTAAGGAGTACACAAAACTTGAAAACAAGCAGAATTAAAGTTCTATTGATTCATGTTTGTCTGAGCAGAGTTTACACGGTTGTCTCAGAAATCGTTGAAGTACACATTGGGGCGAGAAAAACGAGGAACTGACCAGTGAGAAATAAAATTAAAAGTATGCTTACTTAATGTTTTGTATAGCATTGTTAAAACAATTTTTTCATGTTTTTGTATCATTTTAATATAGATTCTTCGAATGGAGGAGACAACATCGATAATAAGTAACAGCCGAAAGCATGTTCTGATTGTTCTTAATGAAAAAAAAGTTATGGATTTGATCATTCTTCGCTGATATTCACTTTTAGTTGGGTGTGGGTGTGTATCGAAGAAACTTACACTCACATCCACATTCACAACTGACACCCCACACTGCATCCTCCCACCTCCTCCCCTCCTCCTTCCCGCTCATAACAACATTTCAACATGATAAACGTATGTATAACGCTAAAGTTTATTTATTTTATTGCATTTCTTCGATATTTTTGCTTTCGATGTCTTTCATTTTGCTGTTTTAATCTTCTAAGTTTTCCTTTCCAATATATTGACAGTTCGACATTATGCTTTTCGATATTTTCCGCCGATTCGTTTCTCATATCATTAAAGACTGTGGACTGGCGTGGGTGTGGATGTGTGGTATGCGTCAAGAGAAGATCTAGATTTACTCAAAGCTCAAACTCATACTCACACCCACACTCATCCCAGAACAATATCCTCATGATCATTATTATTATTAGTCCTTAGGCAATCGCCCAGTGTAGACCTATCGATAAGCCATAAGAAGGCTGCTATTAAACTCTTGTAACTTCATAACAGCAATCATAGTTCTAATTAGAGTTCTTTTAAGAAAAGCTATTTCAACTTTTTGAAAGTTCTAAAGTGTCACAACAACAAAAACTAATGTCAGAATTCAGATACTAGGTTGCTTAACATTTTGTAAGCGGTTTCACTTTTGCAGTCGATATGCTACTAAATTACATAGGTGATGCTCTTGATCATCCATGAGATCAGCGACCTGTCCATCTGAAATCTTAACCGATACCAGAGCTGACGAGGAAGATTCCAACACCGATTTCATATATACTGTGCTGTTCTGGTTTATTCATCTCTGTGGCAGATTATACTGCGTAAATGTGGATAGTAAATATAGATTGCGTAAATGTGGATAGTAAATATAGATTGCGTAAATGTGGATAGTAAATATAGATTGCGTAAATGTGGATAGTAAATATAGATTGCGTAGATAAATATGTTAAACATATATGCGGACGAACGCATGTATTTTTTGTCGGCATATTGGACATGATCGAAGTGAATGACCACATGGCACACATGTCGCAAGATGGCCACATGGAATGCATGCCAGTGCCTTTTCCTCGGTCATACACAATGTACATGGATTCATAGACCCTGCGTTTGCCGTTTGCATAAGCTGAGCATTAGTAATCGTTGAATTCGTCTTGAATTTGTTTGTCTGCTCCGTGGTTCGATCTACTGATTTTTCTGAGTTCGATTGTGTAGTAGACGATTGAGATGAAGTAGTCATTTCAGCATCAGAATCGTTCGATGAACTCGTTGAGATCGTTGTTGCAGAAGACATTGCCGAGGATTGTGCTGCTACAGTGTCTAAATTACGATTATATCATAGGAATCAGACGATAATAGTGAAAGTAGAGCCTTGTTACAAAATAGGTAGTCGATTAATACACCTAGTTTTTCGTGAAACGCAATATTTTATAAGTATTAAATAGTATAGCGATATTGTTAGAGCCCTCGTTTGATCTCAAGTTGTAGTAGACATTGTCTTATTTTTTTTCGCATTCATGATGCAGGAGAAGCTGCGCTGAAAACATTTTACATATGAATGCGTGGCCAGAGACATGAACGTATAGAGAAGAACAAATAAATACTATCCTTGTTATAGCTTTTGTGAATTTCTCGTTGCTTTCTTTAAAATTGATTACATCAGCAGGATATGTCGCATTTACTTATCTAGATCAATAAGAAGATGTTTACTCTATTTTGTTCTGCATGGTGATGAAAAAATAGAAGGGAAGACTTCTACTCAATACAGTTATTTTTTTTTCTGTAGACAATACCTGATTGAAATGCATCGCGCATTTGTCGTATCTTAATACTGGGAACTATAATGTTCTCTTTCTTGCCCTTAATACAATCGATTTGTCTCTGTAGAATAATGCAAGCTACCATTAGATCGCAATCCGTATCGAAGTCATCCACTAAAAAACAATGCAAATTGAAAACATTTCACTGTTATACAGGTCATGCCTTACGGACATTTGAAACGCAGTTGGTCCTCCCAACAACGTTTAATCACTGATAGTTTGAAATCTTTGTCAAGCAAATTTTGTGATACAGGCAAATCCAGACGAGCAGCCACCAAACGAGACAATGTACTTTCATCCGGTATTTTCAGTTTCTGAGGATTACTAGTAACATTGTTGGTTGATTCACTAGCCCTGGCATGTTCTGAAAGCAAAATTACAAAGTGGCTTCATGATTTTCTTCAGCAGCAAAAAAAATTATAAAACGAACCTTTTGCAACTCGTTTCGATTCCTGAATTTTTCGATAGAGCTCATCTCCACAGAGTTGTTTAGCATATGCACATTGGGGAAACCACCGAGCATGTTCTATTGTAGGATTATCGTTTGCACCCCAATTCTGTAACGAGCCATTGCAGTAGAAGCATGTAACTATCGTTTTAGTACCAGTATAGAAGAAGCCTGCACGAACGAGGTCGTCAACAGAAGGCAACGGTTCGCTCGGCCATAAAGTGAATGATTGATGACGTTTTGGAATTTCTATATAAGATGGATTGCAAGCTGCAGCAACAACAATATCGTGCGAGCGAAAACCATTGGCACCAGCAAACATTGAGGCTCCATTGTTTTCTGTGTTTTGATTAATGATCGAAGGAGGCGTAACTTCACACCGTATTAACATATTTACTACAAATGGACATTTAGGCGAAAGTATTTTATGTACTTCACATGGATCATCTGTCTGTGGTATCCACTGTTGACAGATGAGATTACAATAGATACAGATCACTCGATCGCCAACATTACAATTGAAAAAACCAGCTTCGATCATTTGTCTCGAAGATGGTGAACTACGATGTGGCCAGTGCGAGAAAGTTCGACAACGTATTTGTTTGATCATCTCCACTTCTGCAAAATCAGGCAAATAACTTTTTCCATTGGTTATTTCTTTTTTTTGACATTCATGGTGCTTATTTTGTTCACTGGAACCAATAGTCGTTCGACTTACACTATTTGTTTGTAGATGAGACGAATATGACAACGAGACCCCAATCGATTGCTTAAACGACTGAACGAATTTGCAATCTGGACTACGCTGTGCATGAACAGAAAACGGATCCATATCCTTTGTCCATCCAGTCACCTCTAATTGACAATCATCGCAACGAGTGGTGTCACCAATGTTTGTATAATGAAACCCCGCTGCTTTTAAAAAATTAACAGAGTGCATACCTAGCTGTCTAGTAATATTTTGGCATATGGCTACAATCTTGGTTAATAAAGAAACGTTCTGCACTGTAAATTTGGTTCCATTCGATGCTAATATTTTAGACTGAGTTCTGCCAGCTATTCTTGAATTGTGACATTGAAATGCTATTTGGTTTGGGCAGTTTTTCTTGGTATCCGACCGAACTTGATCTGATATTTTACATGCTGAACTCTCTCTTATAGGAATCCCAGAATCCAAGAATTCTTCCTCAACATGAGTCTTATTCGGTTGCGTCGATTGCTTTGTTTTATCTTTAAATTGAATTTGGAATTCAAAGCTATGTCTTTCATCACTCAACATATAAGAATCATTTACCCATTGTTTCGATGAAATAAAGGATTCTGTTGAGGTTCCCCTCATGTCAGGTGTGCTAGTTGAAGATGACATGTCTTAGCGAATCAGTACTATAAATTCAACAAAGTAGTACTAATATTCTCCTCTAGGTAGGTTGTTTAATCTAAAAATGGTATCAAGATTAATTGCTA